TACGCTTTGTCGCCTGGTTGTTGGTTAATGCCAAGCAATTTGGTCATCAATGCCGATTCCGTAGTGGGTTACAACAACAAACTCCAACGTGCTACTAAGGATATGAAGTTCGGAGTGAACGATATAAACTCTGACACCCTCAGGAACATCCCCCATTTCGTAGAAAAGCCTAAAAATACATACGAAACGAAGCCACCGCAGCCAGTAAGGAAGAGATACGTACAAAGGAAAAGAAGGGCGTACGTACCGCCTAAAAAAGAGGAGGAATATGACCATAATCTGTTAAAAGCCGGCTTAGCCGTCGCGAGTATTGGTCTGAGCTATTATATATGGCGATGAACAACCCCTACGTAGCTGGAGTAGATTGTGTCTACACTGCTTACACAGGCGAGAAAATATACACCCAGGCATCTTGGGTTGATGTCACGGACATGTCTGTAGACCTGAACTACTCAGGAAAGAAGTTAATCATTTGTACTATTTGCATTGGCACGGCCGGCCATGTCAACGTGGGCTTTAGGTTCCTGGATGACAATGGCGTACTACAGCCTATACGCGCGAAGACGAACAACAGGGAGCCTGCGCATTTCTCCGTAGAGCCGCCGATAAATAGCTATGAGAATCTTACGACTTGGACTTTTCATATGGTTGCCAACTGCCATGGGAAGGTAAAGCTGCAAATGCGCGTAGACGATACGGGAAAGGTTACGGTAAATAGCATAGAGGATCAAAGAGATCAGCCTTATAATCACGCAACCATTAGCACCCTTACGGTAATAAGTCTCTAGAAGCAAATTTATTTGCTGGTATATATGAACCCACATCAGAAGGAAACCCATTACGTTTGCTATTTAGAGGAAAAGAACCATGCCGAATCTACTGATTGGAAAAACGTCGGCATGTGGGTTGAAGTTGGGGGCACTGCATTGATCATTTGCACCATTAGTGTTAATACGGGTAATGGTGCGAATGCAGGGTTTAGACTCATTGATGAGAACGACGAGCCCCTGCTTCCTTATCGAACTTCGACGAACTCTAGGAAAGTTACCCATTTTTCAATGGAGCCCTGCACGTTAACGAGCGAAGACATGACGCCGATCACTTTTCATATGTTAGTCAATTGTAAGTATGCTCGGCTGCAACTCCTTCCTAGTGATGGCAACGTTCGAATAAATGCTGTGGGAACTACTGCTATAGACGCTGTTTGGAGTCATAAGCCCATTAGCACCATGAGCGTGCTGCCGCTAGTTCCGCATTATCAGGGCGGCGCGAATACTATCTTTGCTTATCCGCAGTCGAGAACACCCCGAGGGGCGTCTGACGACGATAAGCCACCAGTAATACACAAGGATAAGATTAACCCTTCATCTTCTTCAGGAGTACCACCCCAATAGCGACAACCAAGATCCAAATGTTATTCCCCACGAACTTCAACAGTTCACCGCCGGCCTTCAGTGTTAGGCTTAAGACGCTACCCAGCAGCCCGAGAACGCTGGCTGCCATTGTTTTTCCCAGGGCTATTAGGCCCGCACCTAATTTTTTTTCCCATTTCCCCCATTTCTTTTCCCACCTTTTTTCCAAGCGCCTTTGCGCCTGAGGCCACACCGTTAATTGCATTCATAATTCCAGCAATAGCGCCTGCGAGCGCTCCGGCGAACGCCAATGGAATGCCGTACCTCCGAAGGACCCTCAGTATTTTTTGCCTTGTGGTAAGCCCCAGCTCCCTTTCCAAGCCTTCTCTTTGCGCCTGCAACTCCGCGACCCTTTCCTGAAGCCTTTCCTCTTCTGCTTGGGCTGCTTCTCTTTCCCCGTCGGCGCGAGTTTGATCTTCGATTATTACTCGCTGTCGATCTATTTCGTACTCCAAGTCTTCGACGGCCTGTTGAAGTTGCCGTGTTTGTTCCTCCGCCACTGCCTTGTCCAGCATTACTTGTCTTTCTCTGTCAACAGACTCCATTAATTCTTGTCCTAAGCGCTGTAGTTCCGTGTCTTTTCCCGCCGCTTCATTCAAAGCAGCCCTTAGCTGATTCCTTGCGTCGCTTTTTTCGTCCAACGCCTTAGAAAGTCTNTGTATCATATGTCCGCAAAGGACTCTTGGGTAGTGCCGTGAACACCCCTGGGTACTATTGCGCAATTTTGGCGCGCGTTTTCTGACGCAGGAAAATACAGACACGCAACGCTTTATTAGACTGGGTTGCCACAGGCAACCCAGTAACCGGAACCGGAAGTGATTGCCAACGTTGGATAATAATCTAGAGCCCAATCTCCTCTCATGACGGCCTCCAAAGAATCAATGAACTGAACATAGCGTAGTTTACGAGACACGAACTACTTTCTATCTTTTTCTCCATAATGAAGCTCGTTAACTTAGCTCTAGGCATCAGTACTAGCTTTGTATTATTCCCAGCCTTGATAYTGAATAGAAAAACGATCCTCTGCAAGGCAGAAGAGAGAGTTTCAGAAGATTCTGTGAGAGTCGCCATTGTTGGTAGTGGTATCGGTGGTTCGGCAGCGGCTTGTTTTACAAGAAAACTCTTKGGTGATAAAGCAAGTATTGATGTTTTTGAAGCGAGTAGTCGMGTTGGAGGAAGGCTTGGTGTAATGGAGGTGGCTGGAAGGATGTATGAATCTGGTGGGTCGATTATACACGAGAAAAACAAGTATATGAAGAGTTTTGTGGAGGAACTTGGTAAGTTTACTGAACACTGTACAGCACTCTAAAGCTATTACTGTAGCATACTTACTGTTATTACTGAAGCAAGGTTTGTAATGTGACAAGAGATGGGTTATTTGATATGCCTTTTTCTGTGGACATTTATTCATTTATAATTCAATCATTTCTATTTTCATTCATTCATTCTTTCATTAATAATAATAATAATAAACTCTTTATTTACCGAGGGTAACACTAAATAGCAATATGCTAACAAACCTGTGGCCCTCTAATATATTAAACTATGAAGATATGTGTGTAAAAAAATATCATTTATCCTCACATTCATTCATTCATCCAATCATTCACATATTCATTCATCACATCTGTTTATCTTTTCATTCATATATTCATTTATTCATTCCTTCAAATGCATAGTTGGTTTTGTTCCTTTTCCATTATTATAAAAGCACACAAAAAGTGGCTGCCATTTTAGTTGACCTCCATCAAAAGAATCCAAGACCAAATCTTTTGTCCAAGTCAACCAACATGGCGGCTATGATGTCACATGCACAAGGACAAAAGACATGGTCGCCATGTTGGTTGACATGACAAAAGACACCAAGACCAAATTTTTTGTTCAAGTCATCCAACATGGTGGCTATGACATCACATGCACAAGGACAAAAGACATGGCCGCCATGTTGGTTGACATGACGAAAGAAACCAAGACCAAATGTTTTGGTCATCCAACATGGTGGCTATGATGTCACTGCTTACATTTCTCAGGCCTTTGTCTGAAATGCATTTCTCTTTCAGGGCTAAAAAAGCTAAAAAGCAATGAAGCAGATAGTCTCATTGCCATCTACAACGGCACAGGCTTTGATTTCATTGGCAGCAAATTCAAAATACTAAACTACATCAAGTTACTATGGCGATATGGCTTTGACCTCATAACAATAGACAAGTGGATCAATAACATGCTGAAACATTTCAGTAACATTTATGACCTTCAAGATAAAGGTAATGCATATGAAAATGTTGACGATTTATTAAATGCAATGGGTGGAGAGGAATTTGTGGGATTGAAGCAGAAGACGACAAGAGATGTGTTGCAAAATCTTGGTCTGAAGGATATTACGATCAACGAGATAGTTACAAGTGTGATGAGAGTCAACTATGGTCAGGACGTGACCTTGAATGCTTTCGCAGGTATGTGCCTTAGAAATTTAAATTAAAATTATATTAACAATCTATAACTATGGTATTATTTTAAAACTTTTCATCCTCTCCAATAAACAAGTGATTGATTTGGTAGATTTTATTTTCTTAAGAAAACTGAAATCTTATCCAATTACTCAGTAATTGATTGGTTTCTCTTAGCCAATCCAAAGTCAATAATTACAACAGAACATATTTCAACCAATCAGCTAGCACAACTTTGTAGATTTTTTGCGATATTTAAAACATTTTAAAATATTTTACTATATAAATTTTTTAAAAAATTCAAAATAAAATTACTAGTTATGGATGTTAAAATAAAAGTCATGTGATAAAAGCTGCAAATTCGATGTAMAAAACATTTTGCGATCCGCACGATCCACTTGACTGAAGTCCAGTCCATTCCATCCATGCTCGGTTCCAGATTTTCCAAAATTAAAAAATCTCTCAAAACTCAGTAATCAGAAGAGTAAATCAAATTTTAAAAGTTGGACATGTTTTTTCAATAAGTCAAAATTATTTATACTGTTTCAAAACCTAAAAACGCATTGAAAACTTTTTTGTGATCCGCGATCCACTTAACCAAAGTCCAGTCCATTCCATCAATGCTCAATTCCAGATTTTCCATAATTAAAAAATCTCACGAAATTCAGGATTTAAAGGCATAAATCAAATCTCAAAGATTGGGTAGATTTTTGCTATACATTAAGATTATCCGTACCCTTTCAAAAGCTAAAGATTTGATGAGGCTTTTGTGTGAAAAATACTAATTTATACTTCCTGAAATGAACATACTCACACATTATGGAATGTGCACACCAAAAAATTACACTTTGAAATTAAATATGCTTAAAAATTCAGAGGAAATTGAATCCCAAGGACTACCACTTTAATTTTATATACATAAACTTGAACAAGAATAATAGGATTTGAAGTGCACTTCAGTGTATATATATATGGTACTTGTTTATTTAACAAAAGCTTTGGACAGTCTTGGAGGGCTTTTGATTATGAACACATCTATGAGTGCATGTCCGATAGTTTAAATCTATCAGCTGCTCTGGACTTAGAGCCTCCACTTATAGCCATTTTGTAGAGCACGTATACACATCTATGAAAGCATGTTGGATATTAATTTAACT